ATTAGTCGGTCGTCATAAATTGGAAATCAGGAAACAACAGATGGACAGAGAGAATGATTATAATCCATGTCTCAGTCCATGTGATATATAGAATGGAGGAATATATGATCCCTTATCTAATGGACGTGTCATTGACTAGGTCAGAGTTCGACAACGGCTTTTAAGAGCTACGATTGCTAGTTGGGTTTTGGAGTCATACTTGCAATAGTTTTAGACTTATCCAAGTGGGAGACTGTCGGATTAGATGTATAAGCTCATAACTATTATTGGTATGTATTCGACCCGAGAGTAGCATGGTCTATTTGGGTTGCATATCATCATGACAATTTGTTAGGATGGATTCTTGAGAGAAGGTTATATATGATTTGTTAATATATTATAAGTTATAATATATTAATATGAAATCATATGTTTTAATTAGTATTGATCAAGAATTAATTTGGAATTAATTTAGTGATCAAAGAAGACTAAATAAATCTATGGGGACTAATTATGGTAATTAGTTATATTTATATGTGTTGGGCTTATGATGAATGTTGGACCAAGTTTATGTATGGATACAATTGTTAAAATATGAATAAGAAAATGAATAAGAAAATAATTTGATATCTAAATTATAAATAACATTTGTTAAAAATTAATTGAGAAAATGAATAAATTAGTATATAAACATAGATATGATACATTAATATGTTAATTATAATGAAATTATTCAAAATAATGTTTTTTTGAAAAAGATAAATATGGTAAAAAAAATTCCATTTCCATTTCATTTTTACTACAACCAAACAAAAGAATTAATTCTCATGTATATTTTTTCAATGGATTTTTGTTATATCAAACATTGGAATCAATTTTTTTTCTTTAATTTAACTCTTTTTCTCTCCATTTTCATTCTCCACTTCAATTCCATTACTCTGTTTGAAGTGTCCTTATATTAAGATTCCAATTGTAAAGTATATTTATAAAATAGAAATTCGACAATAATGTATCTAAATAGCTAAAAATGACACACAATTCAGGCGTCACCGAAGAAATAAATGCCAAGCGTTCCATAGGTTTCACGTGTGACGATACCACATTTTTCTTTTAAATTCAAGTACAACAAGTTTAGGGTGCGTTACAGTAAACATCACAAACTATAAGGTGCACATCTGGCTATCTTTCATCTGATATTCCCTATATATATTCTGTAAAAAAGGAAAAACAAATTTGTATAGAAATTTTCTGAAGAAAATCTTAGGAATTGAAGCAAACAAAGATGCCTTTGAAATTGGTGGACGCAACCTTATCGACCTTCAACACCGTTTTCGAGAAATTCAAATCCGAAGCACCAAACAACAAAAGCAATCTCATCCTGTTCTTGGCTGATATCGAACCTTCCACTAATCTCAGTTGGTGCCCTGGTAATTTCCTCTATTTAGTTCGTTAGATTTGTGACTGTATGTCGATCATACGGATACCTCCTTGATCTTCGTTTCTATTTTTCCCTTTAACTTGTGATTGCAAAATAATGTATGGAATTCGAACTTGATCGGGGTTTTGCTATCGACTTGATCGTTGTAAAGTTTTATGTAAAAAATTGAATGAGTTCATACTAATTTTGGAATTAAATCATCTTTCTACTGCTTTTTGATGAGTATATTGGAGAAGTTTTGCTGGATAGTGAAGGGCCTATTTTATCCTGGTCGAGTACAAAATTGAACTCAAAACATATAACAAATTGAATTCAAGTTTAGATGAATTTGACCCTAATTCTTATCAACCTTTTTGTAAGTGGAAATATATTTGTTTGGAACTCAATTTATTGATCGATTGATTGATACTACTTTTTGTGTCATCTTTTCACTTGCTTTGTCATTAGATTGTGTGCGAGCTGAACCAGTTATATACAAAAAACTGGAATCATCAAGTGATGACGTGGCGCTCCTTAGGGCTTATGTGGGAGACAGACCCACGTGGAGGAACCCACAGCACCCATGGAGGGTGGACTCCAAGTTCAAGCTGAAAGGAGTCCCGACTCTGATCCTTTGGGAAAATGGTGAGGTTAAAGGTCGCCTTGAAGACCATGAAGCCCATATTGAACGCAAGATTGATGCCCTAATTGCTACCAAATGAACATATCTTCAAGGTTTTAGTTACTTGTCTAAATCTATGTTTAGACTCTTCGATTACAGTAATAATAATGTATTGAGGTTATGATATCCAATTAATGTGCTAAATCGAGGGTTTGAAAGTTTTATCTACAATAGCATTGTACTTTTTAAGTATAGAGGTTTAATAAGAAATGAAAGTAAGATGCTATATCAAACAATAAAATGAAAGTATATTCCTGTTTCTTGCATTTGGCCTTCGATTGGTCTAAATGCAAGAATAAGCAAGGCACTTTCATTTTGTTATCTAATATAGCATCATACTTTCATTTAATCTTCTTTTACTTTAATGTCTATTGTGCTAGAATTAGGTGCATTGCTATTAAGCACATCGTACTTTGAAAGTACAAACAATGCTAGAATTCAGAAACATTTCAAAGTATATGTTAATTTTTTTTTTTGGAAAAGGAACTTCCCTAGCGAGGGTTCCGGGTCAGCTTTCGCGCACCGACTAATCCACTGCTGCAAACATGAGCCTATGCCTCATGCCCTGGAGTCCTTGGAGACGAGCCTCCATGGCCACAAGGGCTGAGTAGTGCAAGGATTTGAACACGAGTCAATAGGTTATCCACCATATTTTCCATATGCCTTATCAAGTCACCACAACCTAAGTGTTAAAGTATATGTTCATGTTCAGCCTGTAAACATCACATAAATTCTCTACTTGCTTAATTCCGTTCTTCTTTATCACGAATCTTGAAATAAGATGCAAAAAACAAAGATCAAATTGTTGTGCCCACCAACACTACCGTGTAACTTTAGCTTTCTTTTAGATAAGATTCCTCTCTATTAACAAACCAAAAAAACAATATTACAAATTTACAACAATCATCCATCAAGATTTCAAGATAAAGAATAAAATCAAATAGAGTTGCTTACTTGATAGTAGCTTTGATCTCATGGGTATGTCTCAAGATTTCAAGTTGCTTACTTGATAGTAGCTTTGATCTCATGGGTATGTCTCAAGATTTCAAGTTGTTTTCTTTGAAATACGATTGGTTTGGTAGATATGTCCCATAATTCGTGTAGTAGTATGATTGACATTTGGATGATGCTTTTATTAGTTAACAACAATCCTATAACATCCTATGAAGATGACTAACCAAAACCATTTTATTTAGACAAAGATGTTGAAGAAAATGAATTGACAATAGGCTATATATGCTTTAGTTGTAATCGATGGCCATTAAAACGCAAGTAAAATTATAATAATTTAATGTTATAAAACAATATTGTAATTTAACTAAAATAATAAATAAAAACTTTATATCATTAAAACCACATATATAAAATGATATGTTGGAAACTTTTTTTTCTTTTCTGTTCAACAATGGAATGAGAAAAAAAACTCGTATGAGGTATGTTTGTTTGGATGGAGTGACAAATAAATGAAATGATGAATGCATCAAATATATAAATTATTTAATAAAATAATTCACTAACGAGTCAATAGTCAATACTCAATACGGTTCATGATCATGTTTAGTTAATATGTAAAAATAGAATGGATTTTCATACGAGTTCATAATATTATATATAAATAGAACATATATTTAAGACACTATTACTATTATGCAGTTATTTAGTTATAACTTTGAATACCAATGGAATGGAATGAACAATTTCATTTTTATTTTTAGTTTTTGGATTCCATCATACCAAATATCACCTTCTCCTATGAATATAAATTAACAAGAGTAAAAGAATCACATCTATCTTTTCAACAACAAACTATTTTATTCCTTCAAACAAAACAAAAACAAATAGTTCCTTTTTCATTTCAATGTTTCCATTATACCAAATACTATTCAAATTTCAAGTTCAATTGTGTTTCATGTCACATCAATTCTTTATCTGCTCATATAAAACCCAAATCACAACACCAATAATCGTGTCTCTGATCAAGTTCTTAACGATGGTATCAACCCATGATGATGATGATGATGATGATGATCCATTGACTGAAGAAGCCCTATCTCCCACAAGATCACGAAACCTCAAGTCTCCAAGATCAGAAATCAGTGCATAAATCACACCATTAAGATGCCCTCTCCCAATAACCCCTACAACTCTCTTACTATCTCTTACAGCTTTACTTCGCTTCAAAGACCAAGCAATATACTGAACAAAAAAACAGGTCATAAATCACAAAACAAACTGTCTTCTATCATCAAGATTGACCTCCAAATTTTCAAAAACTTACAGTGTCACGTTCATGGATCAAAGGTTGCAGCAATGAGGGATATGAAAAACTCAATTGCTCGTATAGTTGAAAGTTGCTGTCATCTGTGGTTGATTCCTGGAACATGGGATTAAAAAGATGATAGTTATTAATTGTGTGTGATTATAAAAGTGGTAGATAGATAGCTTGATATGGAACCTTGAAGTTTATCTTGGATTGATCCGATGATGATGTTATTCCACCAAGAACTGAGATAACAAGGCTTAGTTTTTCCTTCCATTTAAGAGAGTTCCAGGCCCTTTCGAGCTAAAATAAGAAAGAAAAAAAGTAGCAAAATTTTTATGATAGACAAACAGAATGATTAATAAGTAAAAGATCAAATGGATAGAGATGCATACTGTTATTTCAATAGGCCGATCTCCTAATACCACTTGTGCACTAATTTCTTCGGATGCTTTTCTTGCAGCGCGAAACTAACATAAAATTTGTCAATTAAGAGCGTGAAAAGTTTGAAGATGGTTCTTGTAACTATCTATTGTCTAAACTGTATACCTCGTCACCAAAAGGGCGATTGATGTTTGAGGAAATCTTGGAAGAGAATGTGGCTAACAGTAGACGTAGTGCTAGAGCTGTTTGACCACCTGTTAGGCCGGAAAACATGGTGAATTTGGTTTTTAGCGAAGAAATAGATGAAATTGGATGTGTATGGAGATGGAGATGGTTACCTAGGTTGATGCTGCGACTAATGGCGCCAAGGAACCCTGAACCGGATAAGGAAAACGGATTGGACTTCAGCCGTGGTTCGATCTCAGTGTCTGTTGATGTGTACATGATTCCTGCTCTGAAAACGATCTCTGCAATAAGTCAAGTTAAGCCATGGATGGAACTAAATCCTGCTATAGCATTAAAGGAATTGTAGGATAAGATGGTGATCTGAAGTCGCCAGCTGATTTCATATGAAAAATAACTTGGAACAGAACAAATTGACGGAGAAAATGGAATCTAACCACATCACATGTACCTGCTTCTACAAAGCTCGACGACGACATTGTCAGGTTTCACAGTCTGGACAACTCGTTCGACGTCGACAGCCGATTTTTCAGAAACATGATTCGTACCGAGTAACCAAATAGCCTCAGGCTCCACAAACTCGGTTCGCCATGCCGGAACAGGGCCAAACTGACTCTTTCTGATTACAACTAAGCTTCCTTCATCGGCTAAATCGAGCAATTCCGGGTGCATCTCAGCAATTATGGCTCTAGATCCGCTTAGAATTTCAGACTTGAAGTCGAACTCCGGCGGTGGTGGTTTTATTGAAACCTTCGTCCGAAAACAATGTGTGGGGGGTCGGATTATGCTGAAATTATTAGGGTTTGGAGAGAAAATTGGGAATGGAGATTTTAGAAGTTCCATTTCGAATGGTTGGTTGGTTATGGTGGTTGGGGGTATGCAAGGTTGAAGATATATGATTTCCTTGTGTTGGCGTGTAGAAACCATAACCACCTGAAAATCCCACAAAAACTTCATCCTTTTTTAGTTTTTTTTTTTTTTTTTTAACGGCAAAGTACTCCTAAATCCACCTATGTCTCCAACGAGACTTGAACCCTCGTCCTTTTTGAGTTAATATTGGATTACAATTTAATAAAAATTAAATGCTCACCATAATTCCATTTTTATTTTTTTGAGAGTTTAAATAATAACCTAACTCTACGTCTCTAGTCTCTACCATATTATCATCTTTCTCTTATATTGTATTCCCGGAAAATGAATTACAAGCCTAACGAAGTTTTCAAACTGTTCAAAAAACATCAATCATATTTTGTCTTTTCAAAAAAATCCAACGAACTTAACATTTTGTCTAAAAAATCTCAATGAAATTTTCAAACCATTCAAAAAATCTCAATCATGTTTTGTATGTTCAAAACGTTACCTTCGTTGGGTTTTTTTGAACAGACAAAACATGATTGAGGTTTTTTTGAAACGTTTGGAAACTTTGTTGGTCTTACAAGTCATTTTCCCAATATGGTAATAAGTCACGTCATCTGTTTCTTTTCTTTGACTTCCATAGAATAGAACAAAAGTGTAACTTAGTTGAGCTTTTTTAGACAAAATGTTAAGTTCGTTGAGTTTTCTTGAACAGACAAGACATGATTGTGGTTTTTTGAACGATTTGAAAACTTCTTTGGGCTCATAAGTCATTTACCCTTAACATTCCTCATATCATCTTTATTATATATCATTCTAATTAAAATCTTATGAAATCCTTATTTGTATGCCTTAAATATATGGTTTGGTAAATCTATTCTGTATGTCTTAAATGTATGTGTTGGTAAATGTGTTATGTGTTGTTGGGTTTAGGGATGTCAACAGAACCAAACGGGACCGAAAATAGCTTCCCCTGCCCCGCCCCCGAATTCAATTATTTCCCCCGGTCCCGCCCCCGCCCCCAGTATCCCAAACCCTGATCCCGCCCTTGAATACGTCCATTGCCCCCGGTCCCGCCCCCGTTCCCCCGTTTCATGGGCTTAAAAATGGGTTTTTATGCCAAAAAATGCTATATGTTTGGACTTAAAACAACTATTTTCTTGAACTTCAAAATCTTGAAATCTAGTATTTTAGCAGCTAAAAAATTAAAAACCCAATATTACAAAAACAATAAATACAACATTACAAAAATTACAAATCCAACTTAGAACTGAAGATATAAATCAATTTAATAGAACTACAAAATTGGTGAAGCAATAAAACAACTAAGCTAAAACTTTATGCTTTTAACACAAGTCTCTAATTATGAAACAAATTGATTTTGGATCAAAACAATCCATGACAAAGCCAACACCATTTTCACAATATTTTTGCACCATTTTACTCCAAACTAGCATCATTTTCACCATTTACTCCCTGTATTCATGTGTAACATCATTAGTATAACATAAACGATTTAATCATGAAGGAGTTGTTTAATCACCAAATGATTTCAAAAAATAAATTGTATCTCAGCAAACTATATGCACTTGGAAGTAGAAATAGCTTCCTGATCAAACAAGTTGTAAATTAGATTTCTATATTATTTTGCCTTGACGCCTTGTGTAGATAATCAAATCAGTTGCAAGAATCTACAAGATGCAAAAGTGTAAGTGAATATAAGACAAAAAAAAAGATTCAAATCTCATAAACATAAATATATCAAGAACATGCTTCTTTTACCATGATCAAAAGTTTAATTAATCATCTATGTACTCATCTACAACTACTGTTTGTGCCTTTGTGGGATGGAGGAGTAAAAATCGTCACC